CCAAAAGAAAAACTCATTTGCGCGCTTTGCGCTTTGGTCTCTGCTTCCTTCCACGTCCCCCTGGCCCACCCTTGGGGTGAAGCTCAAGAGTTTGAAGCGGAACACGGAGAGACTTCTGAAATTGTCTTCGGTAGGCTTGTGCAGTGCCATTAAAGGTAAGCTTAAGCTCAGCGAGCACAGCTAAACCTTCGTTTATGTAAATTCGGGCCGTTTTGCTGGAGGCCCACCTCCCCTGAATGAGGAGCCGGTCCAACGAGCCGTGTCGGCCAAAATACATAGTGGCCCCGCCCCGTCTGAGGCTGTAAGGCCTAAAGTCATAACTATCAAGTTGACAGGCTAAAAGGCACTCATTGAAGGTTTTCCTCCAGGAATGAGGGGTTCCACAAAGTGCTGTTGGGGTGTGCGGTGAACTCAACCATTGCCAAAGTCTTCGCAAAGTGTCTTCTTCTCTAATTGTGACACTTTCTGCGGCTCCTGCCCTTTTACCTCCTTTCGTGAACCCGAGTGAGATCACGGCTGGACTCCGAGGACCTGACTGCACCACATGCGCCTTTTGTACCCCCAGTAGCTCCCCGGTGCGTAGGAGCCCATGAAACCCAAGAAGCAAGGACAGTGCGAACAGTGGTTGGTCGCTAAACAAGGCAAATCCAGCTAGAACATGGAGGGCCTCCAATGGCAGCGGGGGTGCACGATTGGGTATAGTTCATTTGCGGACCATGTCTTCAGAAGACGCCATGCACTAGGCAAATGTCCACGAAGAAACGGGTGGAAGTCTTGTACCGCTGCAACGGAATCACAGGCGAGTGCTCTCCCCTCTCCTGTCTCCCAAAGATGTTCGATGTAGTGCGAAAGGACATAGTCTTGGCCTGCAGCGTCTCGAGGATATGGACGATTTTCTTCTCGCAAGAAGTTGCGGTAGCGCTCCATGGCTTTGTCATAACGTGCTCTCGTTTTGCTTTGAACGGTCAAAGTTCGAAGTGGTCCTAATCGTCGTCTTTGTGCTTGCCTATCTGCTTTACTCCTATCTTCCAGGTGCGACCTGGACTTCTTCACCATTTCTTTTTTACAGGCCGCCTCGATGGGCGGTCAGCTGGGTTTTGCGAAGTATGGACATACACCCATACTCCATGACTCCCCGAAGCTAGGAGTAAAGCGTCAATTTCGGCTCAGGGTCCTCCTCATCTTCCGGCTGCTGCTCCGGCCCCGAGCCAAAGAATGCAAGCACACGAGACTGTCGATCATATGCACCATCTTCGTCCTGAAAGCACGTCGTTTGAGAATTCGCCATCGGATACTTGTAAGCACTGCTCTGAGCTCGAGGACATTGATGTGCTCCGGCGAGCCAGACCAGCGCCAGCCCATAACAGTCCGCCACTTCCACAGTTTTGCAGGAAGGCTAGCTCTCAGCCTGTGGTAGCGTAGAGTGTCCTCCGACGGCGCTTGCAACATGATGTCCTCTCCTTTGAGGCTGACCAGGTTGAGGAGCTTCTTCACCAACCTCTGCTCCCCGTTTGGTGAGCTCTTCTTCCTCCCCGGCTGCATAGGAGGGCGGTAAAGCAGTCCTGCAAGTTCGCTCGAGGATCCAGGAGCTGTTCGCTCGACTGCTTGTTGAGGCGAGAGAAAGGGACAAAGACCTAATTGGCCCCCAAGTTGCGCCATCAACCACGTGACTACGGTCACATTCCATGAATTGCCGATCAAAGTCCTTCTCTCATCCAAATGTTCAAGTGAACCTTGCCACTGCTTTGCCATGCACTGTACTGTAAAGTCTTTAGGGAACCCCATGATGACCTCCCTTTCCTGAATGTCGGGAAGTCTCGGTTGCTTCGCGGCGTCAGTGACCATCAACTTCTCCTGGTATTGGTACGGCGGGAAGCGGTAGGAGTCAGCCTCCCACCATGACTTTTCCTGAGCGCTCAACTTGTCAAGGCCTGCTGGCCTCCGACCTGCATAGCTCCTTGGCCTTGAGGTTGTGAATGTAGGAAAGGGTTCATCTGAAGCCTTGTTGCAGCCTGGTTGCAAGTAATCTTGGACCCTCACCCGTGCCAGGAGCTCAATCTTCCGGAACCTCAAATCACCTGCGCCCTCAAGGGGGCCCATTGACACACCCTCGCCCGACCTAAGCTCCCAGTCGCACCAATACAGCCTTGGACGGCGTGCTAAGGAAACACCACTGGCGTCAATCTGTATGGGGAGGTCACCAAAGGACTTTGTCATGACCTCCCAATCATGGGAATCCATGCTGGCCACATTCTCGGCAAGGTACCGCACCTGAGCCCACGTGAACTTCTGCTTGACCATCTCCCGAATGCGTGCCACATGAGTAAATAAGGAGCTGCGATGGTCTCGCAACGCTCCCCGGCGGTCAACGTTGAGTCCACTCACTCCTTGACATGGAGGGCCAGCTCCAATGAGGACCAGCGACGTCTGAGAGAATTGGCAGGCCCAACGCTGCACCTCCTCCTCGGTGACTGCTTCCACTCCTTCTGCAACGAACACCGTGGCTGGGAACTTGCTCTCAAGCACTCGGCTGGCTGCCTTGTTCACCTCGACGCTGATGTGTCCTACCACGGCTAGCCCACAAGCATCTGCTGCTACCCGAAGGGCTCCTATACCATCAAAAAGGCCAATGGTCAGTACTCCATGAAGATCATGAGGTTCTGCCAGGTCGCCCCTCGTGCTCGTCTCCGATGCCGCTACTCCGAACCCAGTCAAGCCCGTGCTGACTGTCAAGCCTCCACCCGTCGTCGAAGCGTCGCTGGCTGTGACCTCTGCGGAGATGTTCAACCGGAAGTCCAACTTCGCCAAGGGAACTAGGCATAGGAACCTGGCCACCTCAACTTTGACTCCATCCGGAATGGGGAGCTTAATCGGTACCCACGGAACTCCTCGATGAATCTCCATATGTGGTTCAGGCTTCCTAGGAGAGGACGCCTGAACATGCTCAAGTATACCAAGCCCCCTGCAATGACCTGGGCTTGCTTCTGACTGCTCATGGACTCCTGAAGGAACAGGATTGATAGGGCCGTGTACTTGTAGACCTTGGAGGGCTTGGGATAGGCGATCCCCAATCTTCCGTCGATGATCGCACCCTGGACTTCAGCCACCAAAGATCGAGACACCGCTTTCTTGGGATGACGTGGCACTCCCCATGCTTCGTACTCAGCCCATCCTCACAATGTTCCTATGAACATGTTGCGCTATGCTGACGGAGTTTCTTGAACCCCATAGGCAACACCTGCGAAGCAATGTAGTATGGTCCCTCGTCTCCTGGCCACATACTCCGAGGTAGTGGTTTGTTGAAGGCCAGGAAAGGGTGCCACTCACTGGGCACCCGGAATATATAAAAAAAAGCAGCGCACATCTTCAGAAGATACCACCAGGTCCTCTGTAGGCATCAGCTGCAGTGGTCCCATAGTCGCCCAACTAGGGAGCGTTGCAACGTCCCCCTCAAGTCCTCGGCAGACGTTGTTGCAAGGCCTCAGGTCCATGATCAGGCGGTGGATGGGAGTAGCTCCTTCCACTTCGTCCTTCTTGACGCCAAAAAGGCCGTTCAGGAGAGGCTGGCCATCAATGTGGTGGACCTGAGACTTGGAGAGAATAGTGCACACTCCATTCCTTGTCAGGCCTTCGCACACTTCTTGCCAATGATCGTCGTGCACCAGTACCCGAGGCCCTTTCATGGCCTTCTGCATCTCCCCGGGTAGGAGATACTCCGTGAAGTGCTCAACATAGTGCTTGCACCCCAGCTCGCACACCTCAGCCAGGTCTACAGAAGCAATCTCAGAGGGCATAGCTGGCGCCAAATTGGCCCAACTGGTGGACTGTGCGCAAAGGACCTCGTCTCCACAGTAGTCAATGGTCTTCAAATGAAAAAAGTCCTGCCACGAAGTCTGCTCCAATCTCTCTGGCCAATCGACTGCCACTTGAGCCTCCCTAGCTAAATGCCTCACTGCCTCAACCTGAAGAGAAGTAGGGTGGAAGTCGTTCTCAGCCGCCACCCCATAAAAGAGGTTCAGCGCCATGCACATTCCCCTAACCACTCCAATGACATCCGGCTCAGCTTTCGTGCAGTTCCCCAGGTGCAACGTGTTGGTGGGCAATGGAAACACATCACCCTTGGGCTGGGCCTTGCATTGCATGTCCAAGCCTACTTTTGGACAAAGATGAACCAACTCGCTCACCAACCAGGGAACAACCTGAATCAAACTGTCACCTACCACCGGCGGCCGCATGCAAACTTTTTCTGCAGACAAGGTCACCAACGAGGTCTCATCCGCTGAACGGCGCGAATCGGCCAGATTACCCGGCCCGGCGCCTGCTGGTGCCTCAAGCACTGTGCCATCGACGTGACGGCTCGGCCTCGAGGCTGGTGGAAAAAAACGTGCCCTGCTCTTCAAAGGGGGCCTCATAGTTGGAAGGCGAACTCCCTCCGGCATCCAGCTTTGGCGAAACCTGGACAGTCACTTCTTCTGATCTCCTCGATCTCCTTTGTCCTTTCCCTTCTTTCCTTTGCCCCTCGCTTCTTTTCCTTTTCCTTCGCTGCCAGGATCTCGCCAATGCCAGGTGTCTGACTTGCTCTTCCCCTTGGATGCTTCGTTGCGAGTTTTCTGTTCTTCTTTTTGTTCTCTGATTGCCTCTTTTGCTTCCCCCCTTGAGGAAAGAAGGGGTCTTTCCGGAGGCAAAACCTCGAGCCGCTGCGCTATTTGCCAAGCGGAGCCCTGTGACACCATTTCGACTGACTTCAGCCGTTGCACCAGAGCGTCGACGCATTCTGCCATCCTTCCTTGTAAGGCCAGATCGATGGCCCAGCAAAGGGTCAATCCTTCGCGACCAGGTCCGCCTTGAAGACGAGGAGCCAACGATTGGCGGAAATACTGGACCGCCAAGGGCTGTATCGCTGTTTGATCTTGTTGCCATATGCCGCCTGTTGCTGTAAGCAAGCTGGTCTGCATCTCCCTCATTGCTAGGGCCGCTAGGACCCCCGGTGCCCGCTTGGAGAGCCTGCGGACTTTCTGTTGCTCCTCGAACACTTCCACGGACTCGGAGGTCGTTGTCTTGCCGCTGCTTGAACTCCCCGTTGAATAGGAGTCCCTCTTTCTCTTCTTGGTCTTCTTCTGGGCCTTCACGGCATAGCGACGCCTGAACCTGGGGTCGGGGTCCAGGCCCGTCCCTCCAAACACCTCCTTCAATTCCTTGCGAGCCCCTGACTTCAGGTCGATCTTCTCCTTGCTCTTCTCGGGACTCCTGCCTCGCTCTTCGCTCCTCTTTTTCTTCTTTTTCTTCTTTTTCGCCTCGGACTTCTCCTCTTCTGCAGCTGCCTTTGCACTGCTCCCTTTGCCCCTTCCTTCTTCCCTCTCCCCGACCAGGAGGGGGGCTGCTCCTGAGCTCTCCGGCTTTGCGACCTCCTCGATCAAGTTTGCCATCCATGGATCGTCCTCGCCTGTCCTCTTTGAAACGGTCATCCCATGGATGAGGTCCTCCGCTTCGAGCTTCTCGGGGCATGAATCCCCGCAGAGATGAACCCTGAGCTTCAGGCCGGGATGGCCGGTGGCCCATCTGAGCAAGTTCTCCTCTGTAGTGCCTTGAACTTTCACGTGCAACTCCACATCCTTGGGTGTCCTGATGTAAAGGCTCTCGACCAGACCTGCCACCATAGCTCGGGCGCCCCAATAGACGCCCTCGAGGCATATCGGCAAGCCCCGTCGAAAAACTTCCAAAGGAACCTCCTCGCATTTCGTCTTCTCTCCTCTCTCAAACTTCACTCCGGTAGAGGCGAGGCGTAGTACCTCACCCCTCAACTCTCCTTCAGCCTCTGCTTCACCAGCCTCCCTTGCGGCTGGCCTCCTCCTCACTGCCCCTCCCCGCCTAGGAGGTGCCTCTTCCAATGCTCCTGCCGGCCGACGCCTGGGTGGCATCGCCTATGCTGGTCCTCAGCTCTCGTCTCCCTGAGCCCTATACCAGTGCCTCTCTCTCTTCTTTGCACCCTTGTTCTCACCGTAGTACTGCGGCTGCAACTTCCACGCAGCTGGCTTACCGTCCCACCTTTTGACCGCTGGCCTGATAATAGGTGGGGTCCTGGAAGGAGGTTCGTGCCTCCCCGGAGGTGACTTCGAAGGTGTATGTGGAGGTCGAACGGAAGGCCTCGCCCTCAGCTCTGCTGGCCGTGCCTCTCGATCTCGCCGAGCGGACTCACCTGCTGCCTCACCTCTTGAACTCCTTCGGTGCCTTCTCCCGCTCCTTGAGCGAGTCTTGCTAGCCCTTTTCTTATCCCTGTGCCTTCTGCTTCGCGTCCTGCTCTGTCTCCTCGATGGCCTTTTCTGATCACGGGGATATGCCTTCGAAGAACTCGTGTGCTTGCCTTCTTCCTCGGCCTCTGTGGGACTACTCTCCTTCTTGATGGGGCTACTTGCCTTCTCTTCCTCACGCTTTGTTTCCACCCAGGCCTTGTCAGGCTCGGATGTGCCCTCCTCAGCTTCTGCTCTCCCCGGACCAGGAGACGGATTGGTAGCAGGGCTTTTGGCTTTCGAAGCCGCTGTCTTTCCTGCTTCCTCCTGCAGCCTTTTGTGCTCCTGGAACTTCTCGGCCTCCTCTTGCAAGATCGAAGTCCAGATGCGGAGGCTGCTCACTGCCCACGCGCGAAGTCCCACAGGAAGGTCGTCACACACGGTCCAAAAGCGAGTGCGCGACCGGCAGAAGGTGCAGACTGCTTCTGTCTCCCCGGACGTAAGGAGACCACAGTCACGGCAGAGCATCAACACGCTGTTGAGCCAAACTCTGTGGATAAAAACGATTCCGAACGCGGTCACCTTAATTACCTGGGTCGTCACATCATCTATGCTTCAAAACTGCTGCCGCGTGGCACGACCGTCTCGTGGCTACAACATCTCTGTCTTGCCCGCACTTGCGGCAGAAATGCATGGCCTGCCATGCCTCTGTCTGGCCGTGGGCTTGCAAACTGAATTATGCTTTTATCAGGCTGCAGGACTTCGCCCCTGAAGGCAGCTACCCGCTAGGGTAAGGACGGTCGCGCCCTGCCGCAAACGGCCCCGCGGTGTGAGCTATGCTGCCCAAGTTTCATCGCATTACTTGCATTTTCTCGGTGGTAACAACGACTACCACTGGGAGAACAAGACAACAAAGATTACAACAAAACGACGACAACAACCACAACAACCACCACAACAACCACAAGTCTCACCTGTTTGCTCCTGCCGCCTGCCACTGAAACCCCTGCTATGCTGTAAGGCCCTTAAATTCTATTTACTTCCCTTACGTGAGTGGATGTGACAGGGGCAGCCTGCAACAAGCACTCCCACATGGAACTCTGTCTGAGTAAGCTAGCAGTTGGTGACCATTGGATGGTTCCCAGCTTAGTCAGTACCGAAAACCACCCCTGCTTGTCCGGCTTGCCATCCAGTTTTGGATGGTGGCGACCACTCGGAGTCCTGCCGACGTCCTTCTGCCGACGTCCGCAGCCTTTGGATCCCGTCTCCATTGCTCCAGCCGTGCCTGCCACTCGCCCGCACAGGCGCGCACAGGCCGTTGGCGCAACCGAGTTGGGACATCTGAGGACCAAGAACAGCAACAGGACCGATGCTGACTCCTGAAGAACAGCCTCAAAGCTGAAAGTTCACAAATCACCAGCAGTTCCATGAGTGGATGTGCGCCTGGAAACCGAACGCGTTCGATCCGGTGGATGTCTTGGCGCACATCCGACATCCACTCATGTTTTTGAGGGGTCGGCCATGGAACTGCTGGCAGAAGGAATTGGAGGGTTTTTCTTCCAAAAGTAATGGATGACCATCCCCTACTAATGGTTGATAATCCCTAGTTTTGACCATGGCTCATTTGATGTTTTCTTCCAAAAGTCAGAGCAGTGGCTCACCTGGTCCACGTTCTGCATCGCTGCCCGCGAGGCGGTTTGGGCAGCATGAAGGACTTCCTGGGAGAAGTTGGAAGACTGAAGCACGAAACCAAGCACTTCGTGGGTGGCCTGCGAAAGGCGACGCATCCAGAACAAAGAAAAGAACTGAGCTGCGCCACTAATCACTCATCATCTCCGCTCCTTCAGGAAATCCGTGAACATGCGTTGCATTCTGGAATGAATTCTTCACGTGAGCCATTGTCTTTTTTGTTGTTTGGGCAACAGGGAGAATCATGAACACCTACAGTGGTTTCAGAATAGATGGCACAAACCCAAAGATGTCTCTTGTACACATGGGGGTCCACAATGTCACCACCCAACTTAGGGATTGCGCCATCTACTCTGAAAGCACTGTAAGTGAATGGCTTCTTGTTCATGAAAGACCCTTCGAAGCTCCAAAACCCGGACAGGCATCACCATGGGGAAACCCAGCTTCACTCGAAAACTCCGCCATATGGGCGAAAATCCACATGGACATAGCCCGAGGTAGAGCTAGATATAGCAAGATATGCTAGATGTCCCATTCTCAAGAATTCTGTGTTTTTGAGGGAGAGACGTTGAAGACATCGTCCACCTCCCCAGCCCGTGCACGGGCCCCTTTACATCCCCCCACCGAATCATACGCCTGGTCGTACGCGATTCCGGCGCCGGTGCTGACTGGGCCCAAAAGGGACTGCAAGATGCAGAATGGTGTACGGACCAAAGCACCAACCAAATCCACCCAACACAAGGAGACATGTCATGACTCATCCAGAATACAGCTCAGCACCAACTAACATATGCAAAAGAACACGTGAAACAGCATGAAGAATCGGACGACTGTATCTTCTGGGTGTCCTCTTTTTGGTTGTTTGTCACCTGAAGTCTGAAAACACCCCCCTAACAAATGATGCACAGTATATATATATATATATTACACATATATAGTTATTAATATATATATATATTATATATATAATATAGGGGTCTTGGCCTTTCCAGGCTTTGGAAGACGAAACATCAGCTGCCCGAAACTCGTGATGACCTCCCTGGACCCCTTCTGTGGAGGCCGGTCGCGGCCTTGGAGGCCGGGATAGCCCGTCACATGAGGGGGATACCCATCTGGCTGGGTGTCCAGGAGCTGGGAGGAAAAACCTCTTGCCCCCTGGCCATGGGGATTTAATGCCAGGATGTGTTACATCCCATTCTCACATCGGTCTCACTGTTACAGCTGCATGCAAACAGGCTGGGTCAAGGGGTCGAGGAAGTGACCAAGGCACATCCGGACAACCCCTAACAAGAATGAGTCCTGAAGACGATGAAACCATCTCCTGCACCCTCACCTATAGCCACTTTGCATGGTTTCCGTAGGTCTCTCTCCCGGTCATTTTGGCATTTCCTCCAGGTAGGCCCGTAGCTCTCACTTCGCCAACTTGGGGTTGGCCACTGAGGACCCAAGCGCTCTTGGACTCTTGAAGAAGTCTGAAACTTTAGACCCCATAAGTTCAAAGGATGTCGCAGCGAGTTCGGAATAAGCTGAGCACATAACATATAATCAATTATTTTATATATAGACACTTTCACATGAACATGCCTCAATCGTCCGCACAAACCCGTACTTGTTTCTTTCTTTCTTTCTGGAGGACACGATCAAGCCCTGAGACAATACCTTCACCATCCATCCAAACTCAGTGGGGCGGAACCACGGCAGGGACACCCACACAGACGCGCCGCATGAGGTGCTCTAGACCTCGGCAGACTTCGTGGCGAAATGGCTCGGAGAGGAAAACACAGGCGTGTGCTTGTTGAAAGGGAAAGGCGTTGGGGAGGTGGGTTCCAAACGGCCTGGATTGAAATCTCTGGTGAATCCCTGAGCCTTGAGCCTTATACGGCCGGTGATTTTTTCTTGGGCCTCCGCGGAACAAATTTGTGACAAAGCCTTTTGCGATTGCTTCGCCACGTTTTGCCAAGTCCGAGAATAGGTCCATTTCAGCAATCCACATGTTTTCACTTTTCTTTTTGCAGCCCAGAGTGCCGGGCGCAAGGGCTCAAGAGACAACAACAAACACTATATAGCGGAGATTGAGACTCTCTCTCTCTATATATATAATATATATACATATATATGTCTAAGCTCAGCTCCAAGAGTTTTTATGATTTTTTGTTCAATCGTGGACGATGAACCAGGAAGGACTTAGGTGCTATATAGCTTATTATACTCTCACTGAAATAGGCATGGAAGTGAAACAACATTGTGTGCAATTAGAGTTGTAGAATATTCTATATATATAACATGGTCATCCAAGGGGCCATGTTCCGCTTTCACGATTCTTTCAGGAACATCTGTAAATTGCTGGGTGCCCTGGAAATAGTCTGTGTGTTCTATGTTTCGGAGTTTCTTTTTCCACAAACAGAAAGGGTAAACAAACATGCAAATAAATTCAGAGAACTAAAGTAGCACCATCAGCACTCCTTTTAGTCCAAGAATCAGGTTGTGGACTGCCAGCAGGAACACTTCCTTTTGTTTTTGAAGCTGGAATAACAAACCAACCGAAAGAACTTGGATCCTTTGGTCGCTCCAAGCGGCGAAGAACTTCTTCCGGCTCACCTGGCTCTTCGAATGGTTCGCGCCGGGAGGAGGTGTTCTAGGTATTCTGGTGGCTTACGGTCATTCGTGGCATCTGAGGTTGACCAAAAAAAGGTTCTAAAAATGGCAAGCCATGCCCCACCTCCTGATTTTTTTGGCTCCCTCCCATGAGTTGGAAGCTGTGCATCCAGAACATGATTTTGCAGTGCATGTGAGGGTTCAAACAGCGGGGGTGAGTACTCTCTGTGTGTCCAAAACACGTCGTTTTGGGTAAAACACCGGATGGCCACTACCGCGGTCCATGATCACTTGACAACCTCCTTGCGGAGCTCTGAGCTCATCCTTGAACAAGCAGGACCCGACTCGAAGCAAAGATTGAACAACCCAAACACCAAACACAACGGAGACATGAAGATTGGGCCTATCAGTTGGGGTGGTTTGTTTCAGGAGGAAACATGCGTACGAACGTTGGGTGCTATTTTTTGTTAAAGTAAATGACAGCAAATGTATCAAACTGTTCCCATCCAATTTCCCATCCAAATTAATACTAGCAAACAATGGCAAACCCTCCGTGGCCGGCTAAATTGATCTAAATTGATACCTCACACCACCGAAGGCCTTCCGCGCGGAAACAAACACGAACGCGTTCGCCGGCGGCCGCTTAACGCTCAAAGCCGCCTGCGCATCTGGTCGCCAGATGTATTCGTATTCGCCGCTGCGCGCGTCGAAGGTGCCATGCTGCAAATACCTCGCCGGCACCGTCGAGACGGTCGCAGGTCGGCCGAAGCAAAGGCGGATTGGAGGTGTTCGGCCGATTGAAGGGGTTTCACAGGTGGAGGCGTTTTCGGCCGATTCCGCGTGAAAAGAACGGGTGGCAGCTTCTGATGCTCTTTTTTGTGGGGCATGCAGTGACCCAAAGTCAGGTTGGTTCTGGTGATGGACATGACTGGTCATCCAGTCAGGCGTTGGTTCTTCACAAGTTGCTTCACACGGAGGATGCCACGGAGTGCTAAAGAACAGCCTGGCCCTGGATCAAAGAATATCAAAGACGTATAATTACGTGCGTTCAGTCTTCAGGAAGACCTGCAGATTTAAGTCTTACTGTGAGTCTTAGTCTATCTTCCGGTTCCCTGGGGTTCCCCTTCATCACATGGCTGCGGACATGGGAAACACGCCTATAGTCGCGCGTGAGCACAACTTTGCTTTTGGCGAGAGCCGGGGAAAGAATTGTGGTTGGTTGAAAGGGGAGGCTTGCCTCCATGCCTGCAACTGCTCCCTGAGTTGATCCATCCCAAGTCCCCATGGACTCCAACAACCGGACATTGGAACGAAATCAAGCTTCTAACCTGTGTGCAGCGATAGTCCAGGAGACCTCTTTTTGACACCCAACTGCTCTCTTTTTGGGGGGTCATGTTATGTCAGTAGTGAACCACACTGCACATGTTGGATCGTCACCGTCCGCCCGCATCGTCCACTGCGCCAGAAAGAAAAACACGGTCCGTCCGCCTGCACTTCAGGGTGAAGCGTGGGCCAATTTCCTGTAGAGCACACCTCTCGCCGTTGTCCTTGAAGTTATACCTCCAAGCGTCCACGCAAGTCGTTGGATCCCCCAAGCTTCCAAGGAAGGGAGGAAGCACTCAGGTGCGCCCCGCAAGGTTAAGGCGCTTCTTTGGAGTTGGGGAAGATATCGGTGTACTGCACTTGGAAGTTCGGTAAAAACCACCAGGCAAACCCCTCTGCAATCAAACCAGGCACATCTTCAGTAGCCCCCTTTGTGGGCCCTTGCCGGCCCGTCTCCGAATGTCTGTTGGCAGTTCCCATGGAGGGCCCCTCCTAATTATATGTTTCATTCCTGGCACCAAGAGGGGCATAGTTTGGACCAAAAACGGCCAAAGCATGTGTTGCCCATCTGATTCCTTGAATGGGCCCATGGCCCAATGTGCCCATTCAAAGCTGAGGGTGGTACATCCAATTATATACAGACTACAAATCCTGTTGAAACCAAACCAGTGACCTGCAAGCTCCATGTTTTCTTTATATGTCTTCTTACACCTTCCTCCACCCCGGGCCAGTTCTGCCTGTAGTGTCTGAAGAACACGAAGTCCCGTTGGTTGTGGAAGGTGATCGTCCTGAGGCGTTCGACGTTCACGTCGCAACGTGGTCGCCGCGAACGGGTGTGTTCGATGATGGGCTGTTGCATGGGCTGTTGCAAGTCACGAGCAAAGAATAAGTCTGTGGGTTTAAACATGTCCAATACGTTCAATCATCCCAAGTACGCTGCACTAACATGACATAATCCAGGGATATATAGTGGAAGTGGAGTATATAAACACCAACTGTTTGGTCTCCGGATTCATGGGAGTGTAAAGATTCACATAAACAGTCACAAACATATCCGAAACATTCTGAAACAACCACCAAGTGGGTTGTGTAGCGTGATTTGTGTGGTGTGATTGAAGGACTGGGGTCAGGAGGTGTCGCTGTGTTCCATCTGTAGCCGCTTAGTTTAGCTGAAGCGCTAAGGCTTGAGCCCCAGCGGCCCCAGGGCTTTGCTCTTTCTTCCAGGCACGCAGCTGTGATGTGCGTGCCATCCACGCTGCCCCTGCTGCCTGATTTTCCCCAAACTTGCCACCATTCAGTCTGGCCACACGGCCACGGTAATATCATGCAATTTACAGGTTCAGGTGATGCCCTCCACACCAAAGCCCACATTGTGCCGGAAGAAACTGTGTCAGGCCAGCAGACGATGACCACCAAACGCAAGAACCGTAGACCCTTACTGAAATGAACATCCAGGAATTCTACAAAACCATCACGGCAATGAACCTCTGTTATCCTCCAGCTCGTGCGTTGCATGCGCCAGAGGTTTCAAGATAGGCCCTCACATCATTGAAGGCCTACAGTAGTAAGGCAAGTGTAGCTGTGTGCATGCTACCTCGAATGCCCTCAACCATACCTTCTTGCACACACCCAGAAAAAGATCTGTACCAGGCGGGACGTAGGTACGTAGCCTTGCGCCTAGCCCCAGCGTGTTCAACAGAAAGCTGGTTTTGCTCTTTCAACATCTTTCAAGATGTTGTGCTCCTGGATGACAGCTTTGCTTTACGCCTTACGCCTCGCTCCGGGCTCGCCGCGGTGCCGGTGCGGCTGCTTTGATGGAGGCCGCCGGTCGAACCCCTTTTGGAGGCCGAACTCTATATATCTTCGTGCTCGCGTGAAAGCACCAAGGCCTCTGAGACATCCGACAAGGCAAATGACCACCAATGGGCTGTTCAGGGAATCTACCCAGAATTCCGCCCAGCTAAGCTCATGGAGCCATCTTCCCAACCAGCTTTTATATCGCCTACCCAGTTGCCCTTCTTAGCAACTTAGGCAACCAAAGGGAGAAATTGGGAGGAACCAGCAGTTGTATCAGTTTGTTCACACATTGGTTAACAAAACGCCAAAGTGCCAAAACAACACAAGCAAATTGAGCCATAAATATGATCCAACATGATCCCGCTGTCAAAGATGCCAATCTATGCCCTGACCAGTGTCTGTCACTTTTCTTTGTTTCGTGGCGCGCACCCAGCAAATCCGAAACACGAAACCCAACATCCCGTCCTTCTGCCTTCAAAATCAGGCCTCTTCAGCCAGGGCCAACTTCCAGCTGGAACAGTGGGGCTCGCTATGAGGCCATCCTATGACTAGATCATGGGGCCATCCTCTTTCTACATCCATCATTCCGTTCGTTCTGTATTTCTTTCTTGCTTCCATCCATCCATCAGGGACCTCCATCCATTTTGTGCACAGGTCAGACCATACACTTTATCTGTATCATGATTTGTGAGTGTCTTGATTGCAACGAACTTGCCCAAGAAGCTCAGGCTGTTCATAATGTTGCTTAATTAAGTCCTTCAGACGTCTCAACGTTCACAGCGACCGCAAGGAAGGCTATGTTCATCATTTCCCTGCATTCCCTGCCTCCAATCAAATGCTAAAACAACTGTGATGCATCTTGCCTCCCCCAAAAATCAAACAGGCCCAAAGCTCCGCTTTCGGCCCGCCACGTCGGAAAAGGACCAACAAAGCAACGCATCGTCGCATCGGCCGGCACCTCTGAGGAAACAAGGCCGCGAACTGGCGAGCTAATCTTCGCCCTGGTGAGTGGATGAGCTCGAAGGAAAAAAACAAAAACGAGCTGTCAGGGTAGAGTGGATTGAGAGTAAATGACTCAATGACACTCAAGGACACAGGTTACCCGGTTACCCCACGTTTGGTGGCAACGTTTGGTGGTGAAAATGTGGGCCCCCATATGTCTAAGTAGAGGTAGATGACACTGGCGGACACGTTTGGGCCCCCATGTTTTGGCAAAAAACGATTCTGAGGTCTTTTTTGGGGTGGATTGAAGGTAGATGACACAATTCTCACGTCTGGTGGTTTATATATGGATGCCACCTCTGTCTAAGACATCTTGGCGAGCCAGTGCCATGCATTTTTGGCTGCTCTGAAAAAGCACCAGTAAATGCCGAGCCGTCTTTGATTGACCGAAACGTCAAATGGTTCCAGGGTTTGTAAACCAAAGGGGGGGGTCGAATGTTTCAACCCCCTTGTTGGGATTCCTGGTCGAGGACATGAAGCTTTCCCGGTCCAAAGAAGTGGGTTTCTGCAGCTGCTTTGCAGCTGTTGATGGGCACGATTGTAGCCTGTACCATTTAGTCTGTGTCGTGGCGCTGAACAATTACTCTTCAGATGAAACGACGAAGCCACAACGGCGTCTTTGCAGGAAACCCATGCAAGTTTACTATTAAACATACTTTTGGTTGGTTGAGCAATGCTGTTCAAGCACCTGCAACTAAATATTATTATGATTATGCATCAAATCTTAGTAATTCTGTGGTTTGTACCTCCAGATATTGTATCACATGTCATTCTTCATCACCGTTAAAATTTCACAGGTGAGTTCGGCAAGTTATTTTATAGCGGGACATAGGTTTTTGGACTACAAAATCCATAGACCAACCCAGAATTTGTCTACATATATAATGCCTCACCCGCCCCACCCTCAAGAGAACTGACAAAAATTCACTATTTTTTTGCCTGGCCTGAATATGCACATCTAAAGGTGAGCCAGCAATTAAAGGATTACATTTTGACTGGCCTGACGAAAGGGTTTTATATGGTTTTATGCAGTTCATGGCTTGTCGGAAAGTGATCTTCTCCGAAAAACGGAGAACATCACACTTGAACCATCTTGAACTTGTGAATTATACATAATGGCAACACCTTTTTTCAATCCAAGAAACACATTGAATACAACACGACTTTATAGATCTTTATAGTTGCAATAAACCAAAGCATGCATGTATTACAAAATGCGTAGACCAACCCAGTCTAACCCAAGATGACTGAACAAAAACATACTACAAAATGAGTGGCCTCAGTGCCTCCTTGGTAAACGCACATTTTGTCATGACTATATTTTTTGACTGGCCTGCAACCCCTGTGGTTGTATAGAATCTTATTTTATACTGGCCTCAAGGCCACCCATTTCATAGTGGAAATTCTAGCGGTGATAGTTTTTCTGCATATTTCCGCCCTCTTTTGGACATTCATGTATTTACATTGGGGTCCACAAGTGGACCTTTCCCTCCAACCCCCAAAATGTTGACAGAGTGGGCTCACAACGATGCCAATCTTTCCATGGCACCTTGCTTGGAGGCATTGTAGCTCCACACAAACTGAAACTCTTTGTCCAAGATGGCAGCATTCACTTTTGTTTTGATCCCCCTTGGTACCGACAGCTAAGGTAGATCTCCAGGATAATGCGTATTAAAATCCTACCGAACCAAGGCGACTTTCGAGTTTTTCAGTGGTGCCCTGTTTTTTTCCCAAGAGGTGCTTGTTATAAAATCCTTTGGACCAACGTGTGCCAAGGGGTTGGGAACCAAGGAAAAAACAAGGAGTCCGGGCTGATCAAGTGCTTAATTAAATCATGGGTATCTACCTTAGCTGGTCCCTCCAGTGCCCTCCCAAACGCACTCAAGCAGCGAGCATATTTGTTACATAAAACAAAACCCCCTACGTGACCGTTTCAAATTGTGCGCCGGGCTTCGGTACAAAGGTAAGAGAAAATCAAAATGACCGAAGACTCAATGTTTTTCCGAAATTTATCTGGAAATTGGAGGCTTTGCAACGAAATTTCTTTTGAAATTTGGAGGTTTTGTGCCTTCCGAAACCATTAAATTTTGGGAAAATTTCGAGCGACGTACCACTAGGCGATTCGGTGACGTTGTGGTTCGAATCTTCCCTGGACATCCTTTTTCGATGGATACAAGCTTCTTTTGGCTGCAAAAAGCGTGGGCGTGTGCGCATTGGAGCGTAGGTGCTGGTCCCGCTGCAGGGTGTCGTTGTGCTTGAGAGTTTGGTTGCATTGTGCCGCTTCTTTGTGCGTTTCGGAGCTGGGGTACAGCAAAAGGTTGACAAAAACTGTCCACGAAAAGCGTCCTCTCCAGTATCTCTAAAATCCTAGCCCAACCCAAGTATCTCTACCTTGTGAAATCCTACAGCTTTAGTAAAATCCTGTAGTCTGCTTTTTTGGAATCCTGGCGCCTAACCTTGAGCAAAAGGATTTCAAAAAAGCATCATTTCTGTAATTTCCTGGGGCCCTACCCGATGTCCTTTTTTTAGAGTTGTTTTCTGAACTTTTTTTGTTTCTGAAATCTGGTCTACCTCTAGGACTTCAGTATGGCGCAACCAAGGGGGATGTTTTGATCTTTGTCTTGCTTCAGATGGGGCCAGCAACGATCTAGTTGTTGCGTCCCACCAGTGGCTGAAGCGCCTTTCATTTTTCCCCTTGAGGTTCTCTGCATTGTCGGTGGCTGACGGGTTTGACCAAAATGTGCTCCTTGACCTCCTTGGCCACAGCTTTCCAAGATCGGTTGCCATCAGTGTAGCACGTGGTGCCAGCGTTGATGCACCGGTCCGTCGAGTGAATTGTCCGTGCTGCAAGAACAAAAAAGCACGACATCAAAACTCTGCGCATCCGAAGCTCTTCTGTGGTGTGGGACGCTCGCTTCAGGGACGGCGTGCGACGCGTGGAACACACAGTGTTTGTGTCAGCTAGACCATCGGCATGGCTGAAGACAGAGAGAAATCGCGAAAAAATAAGAGACGCCGACTCAACACAAACAAAGAGGCTATGACCCTTGGTGGTATGTACGATTGTTTTATAAATTCGTCCCACACGGACAGCCAACACAACCACAAAAAATCCCCGTACTCCTCGAGACAGTAGAAATCTGACAGCCACCGGTCAGGGTCTAAACAAATGTCCAGCGCGGTGAGACCGAATGAATCCTTGACGTCGCCAAGTCTAGTAAACTGTCCAAGTATGTCAACCCGATAAAACCCAGACACTCCATGTATGCCATATATGCCTACATTGACCCCTCAAACCACCCCAATGTAGGCATATATGGCATACATGGAGTGTTTGGGAAAGATTCAACAACGGGGACGGAACGAACAATGACGAGTCACGACGAGTCAACCGAAGAAGAATCACAACGCACAGAGACACGCAACAACGAAGGGATAACGAACGCATTGAGCTGTAACACCTGCGGACAAAAAAACATTGGACCTCGAGTTTAGAACGCGTGTCGACGTAGTTAGCCCCCCCCCCGCCCCCCCCCTACCTGGCAGGTGCACGTCGAAAAAGTGAACCGGAAGAGGTGTGATTTGGCCGAAAACGGAAAACGCACACGTCTGCGAGTCACGAGAGGTCGTGACACCCCAAAACAACCAGCGCTGAAACCCGCGGGTCCTTGGTGAAGCACCAACACATCACCCGAGATCACTAACCCAGGTTGGGTCTATCCTATTAGTCCTATTACCAGGGCCCAGTGGATGATGACACTTAGTAAAGGCTTCTCTAAAATGGTGATTGTTGTTTACCGCCTGTTGCATGTAATAGGACAACTCCCAAAACATCATAGAACATAGGCCCGAACCTCTCTTCAAAATAGCCATGCAGTGTGAACACGGGGATCATCAAAGCCGGCAGGTAGGGTTGGTGATTCTGGACTTACGAGGATGCTCCTATTGCCAATGCGAATGCTGCCATCGGCTCTGGTCACTCTGGTCTCCTCTTCCAATGAACTTCAACTGTGGAGGTTTCCTCTCAGAAAATTGATTGCTTGAACTTCACCCTGACAAGGATCCAGCCGGTGACCTCTTCCGATCCCAACATACTGAAAAACAAAAACATGTCATCAGCGTCTTACCTTCGTCGTTGCCCCTTCACTTACGAGGTTCTTCCCATGCATCTTAGTGTGTAGCTCCCTGTCTCTGACTGGAAAAAACAAAAACCACAAACAAAATAGGACAAAAAACAACACCGAGTAAAGCTGCTCAATGTCTCCATCGTCCTCGCCTAATCGCGTGACAAAGTTGTTGAGGATCAACTCTGGATTATGACCTCAAAGCGCTTTTGGGCTGCAGCTCCCCCAATTCTGCTGGCGGTTCTCTCAATTTCTTCCTCACCCAAACACTCCATGGCGACTGGACAACCCTATGTAGCTAAACATGCCAGACCGATGAGGTCTTTGGGTTGGGCCGTCGGCGGGGGCGACATGTTGAACCGGCAGCTTATACTGTACAGAGTACTGTACAGATCTGCACCGGTGCAAGGATCCTAGATTGTCAAAACACCTGCACCGCCACAGCAATTCTCGTGATTTCTCGTGCTTGGAAAGGTGATCATCTGCCGGATCTTACTACACCTGGGGATATTCCATTGAAAAAAGTACGTAACAACCAGCCAATTTTGGCAGAATTTTGGCATAGTTGGAAGATCCAGGTATGCATCACGATGGTTTGATGATGGCCCTTCTTTCGAGAGGTTCAAGCCTAGGGTGGAGCTTGGAGAAAGCATGGGGGGTGCACATAGGATGCAGCCCTTTCCAGTGGTGAGACCTCGAAGACCATGAGACCTATGAGGCCTTGATGTCCCACACCGTTTCACCGGATTCACGGCTCCAGGCCTGGAAAAATGCGAATGCTTGTAGTTTCCCTTATGGCCTTCCAAATTATCCTTATGATTTCACACCACAACAGGTCGATTTCACTCACGACGCGGGACCAACCCGGGCCCATCCCTTGAAAAGTACGCCGGAAGTTCGGCTGCTCCGGACGGCAGCCAATCCCGGGCAGCCCGGACTGGAGTTGCAGGTGGCACCGCCTTTCATCTCTTGCCCCAGCTTCATGCGCGTTATGCCTCGAGGCTGTGGAGGCATAGGGATGAGATCTGGGGTGAAGAAAGACGTCCCAAATAGATGGGGAGGGGAGCACAAGGGCTGCACATGGGCTGCATAGGTGTAAAGAAATCCTGATTCGGATGATAGATTACCTACGCCATCCTGTGCCTATGCATCTCAACATAGATTAGATCCCGAGGAAAAATATGCTTCCAACAAACTGAGGGTAGTCTTCCATGGGCCAAGAGGGAGCAAGCAAACTTAACTATCTTAACTGACAAAATGAAGAGGCTTGGAAAAGGGCGAGCGGCTTCTGCTGAACTCTGGGTCTACACAAAACAGCATAGGGTAGGAAGGCCCAACCACACCTCAAAACAGCTAGCAGGCTAGCAGGGTGGCTCTTGGAAATGAACTTATGGTCCTACCTTACCTAAACTGGTCGGCATTGTGGAGGGAGATCGGGGAGGATGGTCCTCCAGTAGAACAATTTGCAGAAATCCACGTATGGCCAACTCAAGAGGCTTAAACTAGCTTATATGTCTCGAAGACTCAGGATCAAGCTCACCATGCAAACACCGATCGGGATCGACTCCACATCAAATTTTTGAGCGCCCAGCGCCAATAAGAAGTGGGGCCTGGCAAAATCTTCTGAATGTGCTGTGGTGAAGGGGATATGGTGAGGGATAGGGTGGGAGTGCCGGAATCCCCAAAAAAATAGATGAGGAAAGCATGCGTGTTGTGTATGTTGTCGTTGATGCTGCCGCTGTTTTTTATTATTCTTCTTCCTCTACTTCGGCGTATCCCAATCGCTCTTGGAGTACACCCAATTTCGCGGTGGATATCCGGCGAAGAGCACATCATCTCCTCTCACGTCCAACGCCTTGCCAGGCTCATGACCCAGCACAATGTCTTGGAGTACACCCACTATGGAGCAACAGTGGAGAATCACTAAAGCCAAGGCTATCCTGGGAGTCCGCAGAGCGGAATTCCACAACATAGGTGTGAGTCTTAACCCTGGTCATCACCTCATGATACCTCATATACCCTCTGTTCGCGATCCCTCCAGGTTTTGAGGGCCACTTTGCATTTCACCCAAGCCAAAAAATGACTTGCGCTGTGTTTCGGTCGCTATCGCATGCTATCGCGCCCCCCAACAGACAAGGAAGGCACGTGTTCTGTTCACCACCAACGAGCTTTAATAGCAATGTTTTTCCAGTGTCATTCGCCTTCCAGGGGCCAAAAATGATTCTGACCACTTCTAGATTGAGAGTAGATGACACAAGGGCCCCCAAGTTTGGTTGTGCAATGATGGACCCCCATCTGTCGAAGACATCTTCCATTCAAGCTACTCTGAAACCACAGTATACTTGGGGCTTGACCCCATGCTTTTCTTTTAGGGGCGTAAAGGCAATGAATGATGCCCATTTGGCTCAAACATCTCCCTGGCTACTCCAACACCGAAACGATGACCGCTAAGCCAGCTAAGCGGAATTCCACTCGTCTCCTTCCGGTGAGCGGTTTTCACAGACCACACCGACCAATGACCGGACCAGTGACCGGACCCTGTTCTGCCTTTGGGCAAGTGCGAGATATAAACGCCCTGCCTTGGTGGCGAGTTACGTGAGTGCACAAAAGGGATGATGGAAGGGTACGGGCTCTGGGTGCTGGCTCTGGGCCTAGGTAGTTCTGGCAGCACATGCAGGAATCCAAGTTGTATACAGGTTTCTAGCTTCGACTCAGTCCTATGAGACGCAAAATGCTACAACATGCCTTCCTACAACAACCTGAATCCCAAGCCTGACATCTTCAAGACGGACCTGAAACATCTTCAGGACGGACCTGAAAACCCCACCACCGCTGCATCAGGCCGGACACCGGGACGCCGCTCACGCCGCCAGACGCGGCTCGCTCACCGCCTCGGCTCGCTCGCCGCTGGGTCCCAGGCATCACACCGGCTTTCTCATGGAAGAGCATCACATCGGTGAAGTCCTGAAGACAAGTCCACCGAAGAGACTCTTCCCAAAGGGTGGACGACAGGCGGGGTGGCGGGGCGGGGTGGTGGACATGGTGTTTTGGTTTTGGAATTGCGCCGATGTTTGTCGAGGGTTGAGCATGAGGTGGGGGCAGCATCCGGTTTTCACAGCCCTCTTGTGCCCATCCCATCATACGTACCACTACAGGGTCCTATAAGATCTCTGAACATCTCTTGGTTTCTTACCCTTTGAACTTGAGGGATGCCTGATAAGCTGTTCCACTTTGATAGCTGACACTGTTGCGTGTTCCACATGGTAGACTCGAATCTTCAAGATTCACCATGTCCGATCAGTCCCACCATAATCTCCAGAAAATGAAGGAACTGTCTAGAAAATGAAGGCACTGCATGCTTCAGAAAACATTGTGATCCTTAGACAATTGCTTCAGGAGCCTGCCTTCTTGTCTCTAGATTATGCCAGCTTTCTGGCTTTGTCATGGTTTGTCATTCTAGCTCATGATTCCGTAGTCAATGCATGTTACCCCCAAGTGTCAGGAGTTCAAGGCCCTTCATTCTTACAGAATGACCTTTTTCTGTGCACGTGGTTCCCCCATTCTCAAGCGGGATATGAGCTTCTTTTTCGGGCTTGCAGTCTGATACTAATCTCTGCTCCATTTAAACATACGCAGCAGTTGAGGACGCCCCAAAACATACGGATGAACATCGGATGACATATGGGGACGCATGACCACTATATAACTCTGGCGAGTTGCCACATATATAAATGGCGTAAGGCGTAAGGGTATTAACCCGGACCCTCCAATGCGGTTGTGAGGGCCCCCCCAAAAAAATCCAGACCCCTGCGAAAACGGTCCCATCCCCAAGAGGTCGGGCCCAAGGATTGGTGGATTCTTAGCTCCTTCAGAGTTTCTTGATGGTCGTCCTATCAGGGTGCTGAAAGCGTGACAAAACATTGGGCCATGTTCATCCCCAAGTTTGTGGAAGTAGTCTCCCCAAGCAGTACACCCCGTGCAGTCAACTCGAAAAGGGGTGAATAACATATCCCCCATCATCCTCCACGAGTCCCAAAAGCGCCACCAGCCATTCCCCTTCCCAAAATCCACCTCCCGAACTCCCACCAGCCATGGTACTCGGTTGCCAGCATACTCGCAGATCTTTTTGAACGGAAACTCTTTACCTCGATGTTTTACGGAGCCGTGGGGCTGTCTTCGGGCCAAGGAAGTGCGATGCCCGGTAGTCGTGGGGTCCCTCAAATCACTGCCAGCAAGATTTATCCCGGTAACCATTTAGGGGGTGGGGTCGTGGAAACAGACTTATATAGTCAGTAGAGAATGACCCATAAAGGGTTCGCACGGCCACCGCACGCACACGGAACGCAGGAACGCAGCACGGGCACGCCACGGGCACGCGACCTAAAGTTCCTGATCCCAGGGACCTCCCTGCTGGTGAGCCGCTGCACGCTGCACGGAACCTCCCAGCGACCCCCACGCTCCAGTGCTTACCCGCTCGGATCGCGAACAATGTCCGCCCCTCCGAAGCGCACGTCTGCTATACATCCTAGAAATCGAAGCACCATTGGCAGATCAGCCACTGGGTTTGTCATGATGATGCATAGCTAGGTAGACTGTAATGTGCGTTCCCGTCCTGTCCTTTCCTTCCTCGTCCTTCCTCTCCCTGTCCTGTCGTTCCCTACCTTGCGGGACTCGCCTGTGGAAGCGCCTGCAGGACGCGCCTGTGGACGCGCCTGCAAGACGCGCCTGTGGACGCGCCTGTAATGTGCGTTCCTGTCCTTTCCTGTCCTTCCTCTTCCTCTGCCTTCCTCTCCCTGTCCTTTCGTTCCCTTCCTTGCGGGACGCGCCTGTGGACGCGCCTGCAGGACGCGCCTGGGGACGTGCCTGTAATGCGTTCCTGTCCTTCCTCGTCCTCCTCCTTCCTCTCCCTGTCCTTTCGTTCCCTTCCTTGCGGGCCGCGCCTGGGGACGCGCCTGCAGGACGCGCCTGGGGACGCGCCTTCAGGACGCGCC